ATTGAATCATTTCATTATGAATTATACTGAAGTGGTTCTAAAGATTTCATTAATTTATTTCCACCAAGGAACATTAACGTTGAAAAGTTTAATCCATTATCTCTTTAATCTAAATTCTTATAAACATGAGTACATTGAAACAACGATATTATCTAAATGAAATAAAGAATTAGTAAAAGGCAAGTTTAATATAGAAAAAAACTTGCTCTATATGCAAATTAGTGGAGAATTTCAAGTTTAAATATTTATTTCATATTTAGTATTAAATTAATTATCAGCTAATGTAATTTTAAAATCTAATAACCTACTTTAAAATTATAAAAAAAAAGTAAAAAAAAGTATCGAATCATTACTTTTCAAGTAACGGCAATGGCAACGAGTTATTTTTTTGAAGTAACGCGCACAATTCTGCATAAAATGTTAAATAACTCGTAAACTCTAATAACTTTTTGAGATATTATTACTTCTTTCCTTAATTCTTTCATGAACAGAATAATGAAATAAATTAGTTGGAAGGAAATACACTGAGTAGTTTTAAATAAATAAGTACTGGTAAGTATATGCAAAATGGATAATTTTTTAAATAAGCAAGAATATGTGTTTTCTTTCCAACTGATTCACTTCATTACTCTGTTCATAACAATATTAAAATACAATTACTGAAAAATAGAAAGTTAACGAGTTATTTAATATGTGGCAGAATAAGGTGTAAAATATCTCATAAACTATTGATTTTATGATATCACTATCTTAATACTTTTATACGCAGAATAATTAGAAAAATGTTTGCAACGCTTGGACCGTAAATGAATCATATTATGTAGAAAAACATACAATTCCGTTTAAAAAGGTAGGGATAATATTTATATCTTTTCAGCGCCTTCATCTAGAGAGAAAACAACATGATCGAAATACGTCGCTCTCAGAACCGTTTCATTTCTATTTGAAACATTTTTCTATATTTTCCATATTTTTCGAGATATTTGCTTAGGGAAATTAAAATAGGATACATTGTGTATGTGTGTGAGTGTGCGTGTGTGTACGTATGTACTTTTTTTACATTTATTGTTAATTAATTTATCAATATAGCCTGACCGCTACGTTTCTCATTTGCTTGAACATCAAGGAGAAGGTTCATTATTATCAGCTTTGAAAACTAAGAAATTGGGTCACTACATAAAATCCACAAAACGTACTACCGCCAGAGGCTTCAGTATTTTCAGTATTTTAATCCATTTCACCAAACGTGGTTTTAGGCATATCAAAGATATCATTCTATTGGTGTTTCAGTATATCAATATGCTTAAGTTGAAAGGACCAGTCAAATGGATCTATGATGTAATTGACGAAATAAATTATAATTTTATGTAGAATATGCGGAAAATTATGCTATCGCAATTTATCAGACATTATGTACTTTAATATCATATGTTAAATATGAAATAACATGCATTTTGTACATTTTCAGGAATATACAGACATTGAAAATATAAATTTTCGTTTTAGAGGAAAGTCTTCGCCTCTTACTTGTGTGAAATTTAACTCTCGACTGTTACAAGAAATTCCCATGAATGAAATTTATTGTGCGAACTCTGAATGGCGGCCGGACTTAATCGAGGAAATAATGGAATATTTGATCCCGCAAAATGTTAGGATTCATATAACTGCAAAAGCATATGAAAATATAGCTAATGAAATTGAAAGTTGGTATGGCACTAAATATAAGAAAGTGAAGGTAACCAAGAAATTAATGGACATGTGGAACTCCCCTGGTTTTAACGACGACCTGAAATTGCCTCCCAAGAATAAATTTATAGCAACTAAACTTGATATCAAGCCACAAACTAACGTAATTAAAAATATTATTTTTTGTATATTAATTTTTGATTACATTATGATACTTAATACCAAAATCTCCATGAAGCGTAAACTATACCTTGAAATTTGATATAAAATAGATTTTAATTAATGTTAAAGAGTAATTTAAAATAAATTCTGTTTTTTTTTACACATGTATCGTTTTATGTAATAATTATATGTGAAGTGCGTTTGAATATATATTTTTGTACTAACTTTACAGAAGTAAAGTAAAATGCCATACCGATATTTAAAGATTAGTTTACACAACAGAAGACTAATAGATCGTGATATAAATGAAGAAAATTAAATGCATTAATTTTGGCTTTGACTTGTTTTAGTATATGAAATGGTCCTTTGCCCTATCGTACTTGATCTCATTATGTATATATTTGCATATCTGGATATATGCATATTTGGATATATTAACAAATAAAATTTTACAGATTGAAAAGTTTCCCATTATTTTGGAGAATACATCATATGTAAGACTTTGGTATAAAAAAGACGACGAATTTTTTACGCCTACAGCAAGCATGAACTTTAATTTCTGGTGGTATGCATTAAGTGATTGTAAAAAATACGTTACTGTTCTAATCAAATATGTAATACTAAAATATTTTAATTATTAATGCATAATATGATGAGATTAGTATATATTAATGTGCTTCCCAAATATAATAATATTAAATTGATTATCACACTAAAACTATTAAAAAAAAAATTTAATTTTGCAATTACAATATGATTCTTAAAATATTGTTATTTAAAGATGAGAATAAAATATAATTTCTCTTAATAAAAAAATATTTTTTATAATTTTGCACAATGTTAGTTTTGTTTCTAATTTACAGCCCATTTGCCCATATGGATACCCTTAGTTCCAATTACACTTATATATTTATTAAACTGTTTCGTGATTCTCTTAACGAATATACATATGCTGCTCATTTAGCTGGTTTACGATGGGAACTTTTTAATTCTAGATGTGGAATAACAGTGAGTACATATATATAATAATAATAAAATATAATGTATATTATTTCAATAAATTTAAAGGTTTATTCGAATAAGTTATTGTTCAATTTGTTATTAACATTAATAATGTTTAAAACAATTATTATTTCACATATATATATAAATTTTTTATTCATAAATCATTTATTTCTAATGTATTATTCGTAAATATGCTCTATTCTATTCCCATGTAATAATGTTTACCAACTGTTTTATAAAAATATATTCATAATTTAAAAGAAATATCAATACTTTTGATAGCTCTCTATAAATGGTTATGATGACAAACAACGTGGCCTGTTAGAAAAAATCATAGATCGAATGATAAATTTTAAAGTTGATCCGAAGAGATTTGAAATTTTGAAGGAAAATGTACGTACAATAAATACAATCAATATTTTTAATTTACTTAAGTAACATATTTATGTAAAATTATTACAGTACATCAGCAATTTGAAAGAATTAAGATTTACAAGGCTTTATAAACATGCTATCTATTATCTTGATATGCTATTAACAAAGAAACCATTCCTCCAGGAAGACTTCTTAAGAACTACTTCCTGTAAGCATAAAAAAATCTTGTATTTTTAAACTTGTATTGTAAAAAATTATTTTTTTTCGCTCGTTTCTATATTTCTTTTAGTTCTTGACACAATTACGTATTAATGTACAATTAATATTTTTATAAGATATTTATGATTATATTATTTATTCTATGATAGATTTAAATGTCGATGGACTCCAGCAGTTTATACCACAGTTATTCAGTAAGGTGCACGTCGAGTGCTTAATACATGGTAATGTGACTGTAACGGAAGCTACAGATATACTTAAACTAATTGAGTCTAAGTTGACAGCTGCAGTGCCCAACATAATGCCCTTGTTAGAACAGCAACTAGTATTGGACCGTAAAATTAAACTGGAAAATGGTAAGCATATAACATAATCAAATTTCATTTATGATAATTTGAAAAAAATAATATGCTTATGCTGATTGCACTAACGTTACTTTAATTTTCTCGCGGAATAAAGAAAAGATCACACTCAAGAATTTAAAGTAGCCTTAAAATACGGCTTCGAAAAATGTACGTCGAGAACATAAAAGAGAAAATTGTAAATATTGTCTGAACTACATGATAATGTGCACGGAATACATATATACATATAATATATGCACGTTTTTATTCCGGAAATTCTAATTTGTATAAAATATTATACAATAATATTCTATTTGATTAAAATGAGAATGGATCAATAAGCTTAATATTTCTAACATCTGTTACTAGCGAGCGTGCTCAAACTGTTGGTGAAATCTTCTTTTTCACAATTTTCTCCAACAGATCTACTCAGATCTGTTCTCCCATAAAATAATTTTTTGAAATTTGAATGGATCCAACTTTTTCACGACCAGTTGAATTTGGTCTCCTTTCTACTTCATGGATTTTGTTAAAGCCGAGAGAGAAGTCGAGAATTTTAAGTTCCTTATTTAGAGTTAAAGTTAACGTTAATACAATTGGCCGTTAACGGATTTCGACATGAAAGATTTTATTATTTCTATTTTCTAACAATTTCATATAAATGTAGGTACGAGGGTGAATCAAATATTAACCGGAATTCTTTTTTAATATTTATTTATTTATAAAACAATACAAAAATACTGTTGATTATTTTTCTACATAGTCTCCTTCACGCTCTACACATTTTTCCCAGCGGTTTGGAAGCTTGTTAATTCCTTGCTCGTAGAAACTTTGAAGTTGAGTCACCAACCAATTGCGCACGAATTCCTCAACATCTTGATCGTTGTCAAATCGCAATCCTCCAAGTTTTCCACACTTTCTCGTCCACTCTTAAACTTTTTGGCCCAATCAAACACTTGAGTTTTAGACAGAGTATCATCCCCATACTGAACCTTCAATCGAGTCAAAATTTCGCACGGTTTAACGCCTTCCTTAGTTAAAAACTTTATTATAACCCGTTGTGCAACGGACGCTGGAACCTGTTGCTCACTCATAGCTGTACTGGCGAATTGACTGAGTCAAACAGCTCACCAAGCGTTTTCCCCACTCCTGATACACTACACTACAAGAACCTACACTGTGAGAGCGCTCGTGGTTGGCTAAGAAAAGTATTTGTAAAATTCCGGTTTATATTTGATCCACCCTCGTATATTATACATAAAATTTAAAAATATGAAAATGAACAACCTAATATTTTAATATAAAAAAGAAATATATGGAAGTAACAGAAAATTATTTGTTAATGAAGTCATTTTTTTATAATAAAATTTTTATCTTAGAAATAAGATAATATCTTAAGTTAATATTGTTTATATGATGTAGTATGCAACAATTTGTAACAATATATGATATGTGTTTACAGGTTGCCACTTTCTGTTTCAAACAGAAAATAATTTACATAAAAGTTCTTGTACATTGGTATATTATCAAATTGGTTTACAATCAACAGAGTCGAATGTGCTCTTAGAGCTCTTAAAACAAATTATTAAAGAACCTTGCTTTAATACATTAAGAACTAATGAGCAATTAGGCTATATAGTATTTACTAATATACATATACTGGATGGAGTACAAGGCTTGCAAATCGTTGTACAAAGTGATAAACATCCGCAATATGTCGAAAAACGAATCAATTTATTTTTAGACTCCATGTTGGTAAGTATAATCATATCTTATATAGTAAAAAATATTGTGTATTTATGTTGGAATTTACTTATGTTCTTGTTAACCATTTGTGTTGAATTCTTTAACATATTTGAGAGTTAATTTAACATAATGATTACATTATTAAAAAATGTTGTGTTAAATTGATATTCAATGTTTCTTAGTGCCAAAATGATATAATTTATGAGTAAGTGAACAAATAACATAAAAACAATGTTTAAAAGCGTAAATTCCAAGACGACTGAATCAAATAAATAATTTACAATATCATAAATGTTAATTATACTAAAAAATATAGTTTTGTTTACAATCTGTGTCACTATTAAGTTTATAAGTATCTTTTTTATGATCGTTTTTTAATGGATAATGTCCGTGTTGTTTTTTTAACACATTTATTTCACATTAAATAGTCACACAGATTTGAGTGAACTGTTTGGGACATATAACATGTATTATGATCAATAATCCAATCGATTCATAAATTTATCAACAGTGTACAAAATTATGCACATATTAATGCATTGATTAATGAAACAACATTTTCTTTTCTTACATTTATCACTTAATATCGTAAAATATTATAATCAATATATTACTTAATTTTTTTATGTGATAATACAAGGCTGTATTTTTATTAAAGTTAATATTACTAATAATTATATTCCAGAATCACATATCTACTATGACAGAAGAGCAATTTGAAGAAAATAAGAAAGCTTTAGCTGTATTACGTCTGGAAAAACCAAAAAGTTCGACTGTAAGGTGTGCCTTGTACTGGAAGGAGATTAAATTCCAACAATATAACTTCGATCGAGTCAATGTTGAAATGGCCTACTTAAAGACGATATCACGGCAGCAATTACTTAATTTTTTTAAGGTAATCAATTTACTCTTGAATTATATACAAAATTATCATTTAATATTATTTCACAAGAAAAATGTTTTATTGTACAAATAAAGAATATAAAATGATTTTTTTATGAGATATAACTTTTGAGAAAAATAACTTTAGTAGCTGAAAAATTAATATAGTACATCTATCGTGTAAAATCTTCTAGGAAAATGTACATAGTAAGAATCGACGTAAATTGTCGATACATGTAATATCCACGTCATCGGAAAAGAGCTCATCTGACAGCACAATTGAAGAAATTGCTGATTTATCAACTGATGAAGAAGTTAAGAAAATCGATGATATTTTGTCATTTAAAAATAGTCAGTCTTTGTATTCTCTAGTTAAACCGCTTGAAAAATGTTTTCTTAGGAAAGGCGTACACCCTTCTAAGTTAAAAAAATGTGACAAGGTAATAGTGAATTAAGCGAATGAATTTACAGACGTATAATTTTAGAAAAAATTTGACGCATTATTTTTAAAAATAATGAAGAAGAATGATAAGAACAAAATCTAATGACAAATGATGATTCACTCCAAATACGAAAGAAAGTAATCATAAAACATTAAATCAAATAATAATATAAGATATCAATTAACATTTCAAATTATTTGCAAATTGAAAAGATCTTATTGAACACATGTTAATGATAGTTCATGAGGGAATTCTGCTAAATATTCCAATTATGTCCAAAAAAGTACATACGCTTACATCATAATCGACATATACAAATTAATCTTTAACTGGCATAAAATTTAAGGTAATATGAAATCTGGTTATATAAGCATTTTTATTTCATAGTATCGTTTGATTTTCGAATAAAAATGTTGTCTGTTCACATCCGCAATTCCAAATATGTCAGATATTGCAAGAAATTTACATAAGTTTACTGGTTTTTATCACGAAATGACATAATCCGGATTATGTAAATATTCCTGTGTTTAAATTAGTGACAATTTCTTATGGATTTCCCAATAAAAGATGAATTTGTAATTGCACGAAGATTCGTAAAAATAACCTAATGAATTATTTTCTATTACACGTAAAGTGCTATTCCATGTAGTAAATACATAATTTTCAGATTATATAATAATTGAAATAAAAAGAAAGAATTGATTTTTTAACAATATTACCTTACAATATTATTAAGAGGGGCGGGGAGTACATACTGTCACATGTACATACATACAGGAGGTCCGATAATTCTGACAGAGTTCGTGAATATATTGAGCTGACTAAACTGAGACAGAAAGTTCTCATTTTACAATTTTCGCAATAGTTAACGAAATATTAGATGTTTTAGTTTAATTTCTTCAAACAAATATCTTAAAAAATATGGAAGATATAGAACAATGTTTCAAATGAAAGTGGAACGGTTTCGAATGGGACGAGATATTTTACATTTTATTATGGCACATATTGACATAAAATATTAACTAACTCGTAAACTATTGATTTTTTTGATGTCACTACCTTAATACTTTTATATGCAGAATAACTAGAAGAATATCATATTGTATAAAAAAACATACAATTCCATTTAAAACAGTAGAGACGATCAGTATATCTTTCTGACGCCTCCATCTACAAAAAAACTAACTTGACCAAAATACATTCTTCTCGAAACCGTTCAACCTTTATTGGAAACATTTTTCTATATTTTTCATATTTTTCGAGATATTTGACTGGGGAAATTAAAATGGAACATTTTGTGTATGTGTGTCAGTGTGCGTACATTGCGTATGCGTATATGTGTGATGTGTATGTACGTATATATTTTTTTACATTTATTCTTAATTTTTTAATATAGCCTGTATTTTACGTTTCTTATTTGCTTAAACATAACGGAGAAGGCTCATTATTATCCGCTTTGAAAGCTAAAGGATGGTGTAACTTAATAGAATCCGGATTACGTTCTTCCGCCAGAGGCTTCAATATTTTCAATATTTATGTCGATTTGACCGCAGAAGCTATTAAGCATATCGAAGATATTGTTCTACTGGTGTTTCAATATATCAATATGCTTAAGTTGAAAGGACCAATTAAATGGATCTACGATGTAATTGATGAAATAAATTATAATTTTATGTCGAATGTCCGGAAAATTATGCTATCGCAATTTACCAGACATTTTGTACTTCAATATCGTATATTAAATATGAAATGCATTTTGTACATTTGCAGGAATATGAAGATATTGAAAATACACACTTTCGTTTAAAAGAAAAGTCTTTGCCTCTTACTTATGTGAAATATAAGGTTCTAGAGTTGCAAGTAATCCCCATGAATGAATTTTGTTGCGCGGTATCTGCATGGCGGCCGGACTTAATCGAGGAAATAATGGAATATTTGATCCCGCAAAATGTAAGGATTCACATAACTGCAAAAGCATACGAAAATATAGCTAATAAAATTGAAAGTTGTATGGCACTAAATGTAAGAAAGTAAGGTATCCAAAAAAATAATGGACATTTGGAATTTTTCTGGTTTTAACGACGTCCTGAAATTGCCTACCAGGAATAAATTTATAACAACTACACTTGATATCAAGCCGCAAACTAACGTAATTAAAAATATTATTTTTTGTATATTAATTTTTTTTATTACATTGTGATACTTAACAAAATCTCCATGAAGCATAAACTATACCTTGAAATTTGATACAAAATAGATTTTAATTAATGTTAAAGAGTAATTTAAAATAAATTCTGTTTTTTTTTACACATGTATAGTTTTTATGTAATAAGTATATGTAAAGTGCGTTTAAATATATATTTTTGTACTAACTTTACGGAAGTATATGCCATGCACATATTTAAAGATTAGTTGACACAACAGAAAGCTAAAAGATCGTGATACAAATAAAAAGAATGCGATGCAATAATTTTGGCGTTGACATGTTTTTGTACATGAAGTGGTTCTTTAATCCATTTTATGTGATCTCATTATGTATATATTTGCATATCAATGGATATATTAACAAGTAAAATTTTACAGATTGAAAAGTTTCCCATTATTTTGGAGGATACATCATTTGTAAGACTTTGGTACAAAAAGGACGATGAATTTCTTGTGCCTAAAGCTAAGATGATCTTCGATTTCTTCAGGTATGTATTAAGTAATCGTGAAATATATGTTGCTGCTCTAATGGAATATATAATTCTAAAATATTTTAAAATGTAATTTTGACATATTCTGGTAATTAAAATTATTTTTATTATTAATCCACAATATAATGAGATTTGTAGATATTATAATTTGCATCCCCAATAATATTAATAAGTTGGTTATTACTGAAACTACTTAAGAAAAATAAACTTAATCTTGCAATTACGATTCTTAAAATATTGTCATTTAAAGATGAGAATAAAATATAATTTCTTATAACAAAAATATATTTTCTATAATTATGCACAATGTTTGTTTTGTCTCTAATTCCTAGTCCATTTGCTTCTATGGATCCCCTTAGTTACAATTACATTCGTATGTTTACATATCTGTTTCGTGATTCTCTTGACGAATATACATATGCTGCAGATTTAGCTGGTTTACAATGGAAACTTGGTAATTCTAAATATGGAATAAGAGTGAGTATACATATATATATTTGTATAATAATAATAATAATAATAAAATATAATGTATATTATTTAAATAAATTTCAATGTTTTTTGAATAAGTTGTCCAGTTTGGTTTAACATTAATAATGTTTAAAACAAATGCTATTTCACATATACATATACATAAAATGCTTATTCATAAATCATTTCTAATTTATTATTCGTAAATATGCTCTATTCTATTCCTATGTAATAATGTTTATCAACTGTTTTATAAAAATATATTCATAATTTAAAAGAAATATCAATACTTTTGATAGCTCTCTATAGATGGTTATGATGACAAACAACGTGGCCTGTTAGAAAAACTCATGGATCAAATGATAAATTTTGAAGTTGATCCAAGGAGATTTAAAATCTTAAAGGAAAATGTACGTACAATAAATACAATCAGTATTTTTAATTTAATTAAATAACATATTTATGTAGAATTATTACAGTATATCAGGAACTTGAAAAATTGTGTTGCTGAACAGCCTCATAAACATGCTGTCAATTATCTTCTAATCCTATTAACAAAGCAAACTTGGCTCAACGAAGAATTACTGGAAACTACTATCTGTAAGCATAAAAGAGAACTTGTACTTTTACTTTGTTCTTGTAAAAAATCTTTTTTTTTTTTTTTAATTTCTTTTAGTTTTAAGCACGATTACAGCGCATATTATTGATATATAACATATATACTTAATATTTCTATGATATATTTCTGATTATATTATTTATTCTGTGATAGATTTAAATGTCGACGGACTCCGGCAGTTTATACCACAGCTACTCAGTAAGGTGCACGTCGAGTGCTTAATACATGGTAATGTGACCGTAACGGAAGCTACAGATATACTTAAATTAATTGAGTCTAAGTTGACAACTGGAGTGCCCAACATAATACCCTTGTTAGAACAGCAACTAATATTGCCCCGTGAAATTAAAATAGAAAATGGTAAGCATGTAACATGGCCAAATTTCATTCATGATAATTTGAAAAAAATTAATATGCTTATGCCAATTACACTAACGTTACTTTAATCTTCTCGCGGAATAAAAAAAAGATCAAATTCAAGAATTTAAAGTAGCCTTAAAACACGATTTCGAAAAATGTATATCGAGAATATTAAAAACAAAATTGAAAATATTGTCTGAACTGCATGATAATGTGCATTACACATAAACATATATACACATTTTATTTTTGTTACGGAAATTCCAATTTATATAAAATGTTATTCTATTTAATTAAAATGTACATGGTATACAATAAGCTTAAATTTCAAATACCTGATACTAGCGAGCGCACAAAAACTGTTGATAAAATTTTCTAGTTCACAGTTTTTCCCGACAGGTTTACTCGGATCTGTTCGGATTCTTCCATAAAATTATTTTCCGAAGCTTGAATCGATCCTTTTTTACAACCGGCTGCTTGAATTTGATCTCCTTTCTACTCCATGGATTTTTTTTAAATCCGAGAGAGAAGTAGAGAGGAACAGAGTTCTAAGTTCCTTCTTTACAGTTAAAGTAGAGTTGGTACAATTGACCATTAAAGAATTTCAACATGAAAAATTTTATTATTTCTATTTTCTAACAGTTTCATATAAATGCTAGGTTTATTGTAGAAAAAATTATTAATATGAAAATGAACAATCTAATCTATTTTAATATAGAAAAGAAATATATGAAGCGTATTCCTTTTTTATATTAAAATAGATTAAAATAGAAGTAACACAAAATTAATTGTTTTTAATTAAAGTCATTTTTTTAACTATAATAAAATTTTTATCTTAGAAATTAGATTAGATTTTTAATTAATATTGTTTATATGATGTAGTATGCAACAATTTGTAACAATATGTCATACGTTTTTACAGGTTGCCACTTTCTGTTTGAAGCAGAAAATAATTTCCATAAAAGTTCTTGTACATTGGTATATTATCCAACTGGTTTACAATCAACAGAGTCGAATATGCTCTTAAAGCTCTTAGCACAAATTATTAAAGAACCTTGCTATGATACTTTAAGAACTAAAGAACAATTAGGCTATACAGTATTTAGTGATGCACGTGAATGGTGTGTAGCACAAGGCTTGCAAATCGTTGTACAGAGTAATAAACACCCGCAATATGTCGAAAAACGAATTAATTTATTTTTAAACTCGATGTTGGTAAGTATAATCATATCTTATGTAGTAAAAAATATTGTATATTTGTGTTGAAATTCACTTATGTTCTTGTTAACGGTTTATGTTAAATTTTTTAACATGTTCGAGTGTTAATTTAATATAATGATTATGTTATTTAAAAATGTGTTAAATTGATATTCAATGTTTTTTAATGTTAAAATACATGACATAATTTATGAGTAAGTCAACAAGTACCGTAATAACAATGTGTTTTAAAACGTAACTCCCACGATGAGTGAATGAAATTCTTGTTAATTTAATATATCGGAAATATGTCAATTATACTATAAAAAAATATGCTTTCGTTTACAATGTGTGTCAATATTAAGTTTATAAGTACTTTTTTTAGGATCGTTTTTTAATGGATAATGTCCGTGTTGTTTTCTAATACATTCATCTTATGTTAAATAGTCACAAAGATTTGAGTGAACTGTTTGGGTCATATATTAATGCATTGATTAATGGAACTACAATTTCTTTTCTTACATTTATCACACAATATCTTATAATATTATAATCAATTATATTACCTAATTCTTTGTGTAATAATACAAGGCTATATTTTTATTAAAGTTAATATTACTAATAATTACATTCTAGAATCACATATCTACTATGACAGAAGAACAATTTGAAGAAAATAAGAAAGCTCTAGCTACATTACTTTCGGTAAAACCAGGAAATTTGACTGCAAGGTGTGACTTGTACTGGAATGAGATTGAAACCCAACGATATAACTTCGATCGAGTCAATATTGAAGTGGCTTACTTAAAGACGATATCACGGCAGCAATTACTTAATTTTTTTAAGGTAATCAATTTACTCTTGAATACAAAATTATTATTTAATGTTATTTCGTAAGAAAAATGTTTTATTGTAAAAATAGAAAATATAAAACGATTTTTTTATGAGATATAATTGTTGAGAAAAATAACTTTTTTTAGTAGTTGAAACGTTAATATAGTACTTCTATCATGTAAAATTTTCTAGGAAAATGTACATAGTAAGGATCGATGTAAATTTTCGATACATGTAATATCCACGTCATCGGAAAAGAGCTCAATTGAAGAAATTGCCGATTTATCAGTTTATGAAGAAGTTAAGAAAATCTACGATATTTTGTCATTTAGAAATAGTCAATATCATTATCCTCTAATTAAACCGTTTAAAAAATTTTTTCTCAGAAAAGGCGTACGCCCTTCTAAGTTATCAAAAAGGTGACGTAGTAATAGTAAATTAAGCGAATGAATTTACTTATGTATAATTTTAGAGAAAATTTGACGCATTATTTTAGAGAAATTAATAAATTACTTGCTATATTTAAAATGATTTTTAAATAAACTCATAGCACAAAAGTTTTCAGAAATATCTCAGAAATACTCTTTCACAATAGACTTTTCTAAATAAAAAAAAAAAAGAATTCAAAACCAGGGTTATCGTGTTAATTAGAAAGCAAAATTAATTCTTGAACTTTATCCAATAATCTTTGAACGTTTCGAGTCTCTTTGAAGTCTTCTTCAGCAATACAAGCATTAAAATTTTGTCCTTTTTATGTTTAATGAGAAGTCACAATTAAATTTGTCGATGTTGTACATTCTGTTAAAACATTGAACTACATAATATAAAAAAAGTTTATTAATAAGAAGAAAAACTAATGACAGATGATGATTCACTCACACAGAAGAAACACAAAAGAAAGTTGTCTTAAAACATTGAATGAAATAATGATAAGATATCGATTAACATTACAAATTAATTGCAAATTGAAGAAATCTTATTGAACACATGTTAATGATTGTTCATGAGGGAATCCTATTAAAAATTTCAATTTATATATATGTCCATAAAAGTACCTCACATTTGAATAGACATAGGCAACTTAATCTTTAACTGGCATAAAATTTATTTTTTATTTATTATTGTCCATAATATTGAATCTAGTAATATAAGCATTTTTATTTCGTAGTATAGTTGGATTCCCAGATAAAAATGTTGTCTGTTTACATCCGCAATTACAAACGCAATTACATTAGGTATTTCAAAAAATTTACATAAAGTTTACTGGTTTTTATTAGGAAATAACATAATCCGGTTTATGTAAATATTTCTGTTTAAATTAGTGATAATTTCTTATAGATTTCTCAATAAAAGATGGATTTGTAATTGCATGAATATTCGTACTCAATTAAAAATAGAAAATAAATGAATTTATCCTTCATTGTCTGGAATTTTAAATATGCATCGAACAAAACAGGATTTACAGACAAGAGTTGACGCGAAACTTATCTGCAACTCTATATGTATTTTGGATATAACAAAGTTTCCAGTACAAGAAACTACATTTAATTAGATATCTAAATTCATATACGACATGTTTGGAATTGTTATCAGGGAATGATTGATACAGTTTAAGTAATAAGTATGACATGTCGGTCATTGAATAAATATTAAAAAAAGGGGCAAATTTATATATCAATGTATAAATTGTTACAAGGAATTACATGATTCAACTAAACAAAATAAAATATATAGATAAAAGAGAGGATTTAGCCACAACACTAGATGTCTTAAGCGAAAGACATATACTTAAAATTTTAATATTGTATAATAATGTAGACGTTTTGGTCAAGATTTGACCATCATCAGTACATACAAAAATAAAGATATCAAAAATAAAAACATAAAATCAAACAATAAACGTTAGTCAGAAAAAATTGTAAAACAATTTTCAATTCGCTTGTGGTATGAGTTAACAGAGTAATTTAACGAAACTTGAAGTTGAGCAATACTTAATCGCTAATGAATTATTTTCTATTACATGAAAAGTGCGACTCTATGTGGTAAATACGTAATTTCCAGATTCTAATTAAAATAAAAAAAAGAAATGATTTTTTAATAATATTACTTTACAATATTACTAGGTGACGGGATGAGAGTCGCTACGCATGGACGTCGTATTTATTATTCATAAAAACGTTTTCATTAATATTTTTTTAATGAATAACGACGGAAAAGATCGATAACCTTGACTTCCTTAAGAGTCAAGATCACTCGGAAGGGTTATATATTATTTAGGGCTGGCTGTGTAAAAAGGTTTTACTATTTTATTTACTTCTATCTGCAATCTAGGTTTTTGTCTAGCCCAAGTTTACTATCTCAGATTTAAAACAAAGTTCAGCGCTTTCTAACATCTCTATTAAATTATTAAACAGTTTTTGAACTTAAATGTGAAAATTTTTTATTTAAAGGAAATTAAAATTTGAACGAAAATGAGAGTGAAATTTGAGAGAAAATTATACGTTATTGTGGAAAAAAAATCCAAATTGCAATAAAGTTTTATCAAAGATACGAGATTCTAGTTTAAATGATCTTTTATTAAAAACATGAGCGAACATTGAAATTTTACGGTTTTTAATTAAATCAAGTTGTATATACATATGCTATGGTTACGCGGAAGCCTATAGTATGTTACTTTCAAAACGCTTTTAAGGTTTAAGAGCGCGTCTCGGTCGGACTTTCGAGATTTAACGCGAATAAAGGCGCTCTAAGCACACACTTAAAATCACGTCGGACGTTAAAACTGTATCAAATTAATCGTCGGCGCGGCTGTACGACGTCATTTCACCGGCCAGTCCGCCTGTCATTATTCTCCCTTTCATCGTTTAGTCGCCGCTTAAGTTTTGTGCTCGCCACTAAGGACGGACGCGTTTTCCTCTTGTCGGTGGCCGATCTGCCTCCAAATGATTTTCAGAGTGCATTGCAAGAGTATGCAGTCGCCTTAGGCCGCGGAGAGATCAGTGCCAACTGTAAAATCAGACCATGTCATTTAACTTTTAACTACTTTGTGCTGAAATAATGTTATGTATTCGTGTAATCTTACGGACCGAGACCGGATTCCTCGCTGAATTCGTTAAGATTTAATGTGCCTACGGACAAGCAGAGAGAATTTTTTGCGAGTGTTGCAGACGCTGATTCGTTATACTTCATTGAAGATAAAATCTTGAAATATATTAAGGATATTATGTATTTTTAAGCTTAAATGTCATCAAATTTATATTAATAAATGAGCTACACTTTTAATTAGCTACTCTCAAATTTGATAACTGTACATAGAAATAATACAAAATTTTATTGTAAATGTTTTTCTTAATATAACACAGATCTATACAGTATTTTCTTTAACTGACGATTTATGCAGTAAGTTTTATTTTTGCTGAACCAAGAGAAGTTGGAACACGCGATTGTATTATATATCATGAAATGCACAGTGGTGACATACTTTAGCTCCTTTATAATAGATTGATTACGAGAATATATTTTTCGTTATAATAAAAAGATTTAATAATATATTAAAGTTTTTAGGCTTTATTTTTATATTTTGATAAATAGTAAGTATCTTAAAATATTTTATCTTTCCACTATTATTATTTGTTTATAATAGATTTGATCTAGATCTACGAAATTTGTAATCATCGTGTTATTGCAGGATATGGCGAAACTAGTTGTATCAGTGTGGTCACTCGTTACCGCAACAGAGATCGTTAGAACGAAACGACTAAATTGGTCAGCTATCGTTTGGAGATTTCCTCAATCATTTCATCAACCGTCATCATCAAGCTTGGTCGTACTCTCATGGACCAGATCAATTCTACGCGATCTCATCGAGTTGTCGCATTAAGGACTAAATTACGTTGTGAAGTTCAATTTTTAATATATAATTGTTTGTTCTAATTTTTCTCAGTCTAACAAAAAAAGTACTGTGCAGATCGCAAAAAATATATAACACATTCTTAGAGTACCAAACACATATACAAAAATAAATTTTAATTGATATAATAACTGCATACATATCTTTTTAAGTACTTTAATTATTTTTATTAAATTACTAACTAGATATTATCTTATTCCATAAACGGATATTTATATAAATTTAATTAACATTTGACTGTGTTATTCATATTTATAAAAATTTTATCATTCTTAAATTGTTATTTGTTTATGGTAAAAATTGCAATTTTGTTTATTCAATTAAGAATAGTTTTATTAGGTATTTAAGACATTACAAAAACAATATAAACTATATTAAAATATTTAAAAAACGATAAAATGTAAAAATAAGACATTAGATTATTATTAAGCTCAATGTCGAAATATTTGAAATCAGGTGGGAGATAGTCTTGCTTAAGTTTCTTTTTTAAGCTACATTATAATTTTTTTATTTATAGAATTGTCATTTGTTCGGTTTTTTAGGCGATAAATATGGTGAATCAGACATCAGATTTACTTTATGAAACTTTCGTAAATTCCAAACGACCAATTTCGAAATATTGTCGCCGAACGTTCGATTTTTGTGAATAGCAAGATGATTTCGTGTTTGAAACGGGCAGCTCTCGCTCATTAATCTAACCGATAAAATCGCAAAGTAATCGATAGCCGTTCGCAGTCATGCCGCGGACTCTAATACATACAAACTTTAAGCGTAAGTAACTGTTACTTATGGTGTCGCTTACCAGTGGCGTAGAGGATGTGGTCTTGATTGCGTCTTTTCCATATATAGAATGATTCGAAAGGCAAGATCAACTAGCAAGGTTATTAACAACGCGCATAAAATCATGTATTGACTTTTCGATGGTGTGTCCTAATTTCACTAACAGCAATGTATACTAATCAAAGAATTTGAGAGAAATTATTATTTATTGTCTCTTATAAATAAAATAATTTAAATGCACGTAAATTAGATTTTTTTTGTCCAAGGACGAAAAAAACATCTTTTATTGCTTTGTAGAATTTTTTTTCCAAGATAATCACGTAATTTACGTAAGACTACGTTATGATATCGCAATAACCAGCCACCTGGTCGATCATATTATTCCCACGACAATATTCAATCTGAGTCAACGAGGCTTTGTGATGTTTCGCAAAAGAAAACACTTCGCCTTTGACACTTTGCGAAATCACAGCGTGATTGTAGAAACGAAGCTCAGAGTCGGGTATTAACACCCTTGATACTCTCGACAAGAATTCCAAGTCTTCGATTCAGCGCGTGCTGATTGATCTTTCGATTGGTTTAATAGTCTGCATTGCGAAATCGGTCGTGATTTCTATCACTTCGCTTGGATATCTACAAATCGTAATTTTATAGTGCAAAAAATGATATATAATGGTATCAGAAATTGCAATATCCTCTCACCCTTTACGATTATTATTTTTAAGGCATATTT